TATGTAAGCATTTATTATTATTCTTTCATTTAAATATATACATAAAACAAGCTATATATAATAAATAATTTTATCATTGAGTAAAATTTTTTATGAAAACAAATTTTCATTTTTAAGACAGCTGATATAAAGTTATATCCTTAACTTTATTGAAATTTGAACACAATTTTAAATTAGTGTAGTATAGTAAAATTATTTACAAGTTACTAGCTTTTCACAGCTTTCAAAAATGAAAAGTGATGAAACAAGCAACAAAACTGTTTATTTCAAATACAAATATAGAAACAATGTAAGATTTCATTTTAAATCTCTTCAGCTTATTAAAAATATGACCACTTANGCAGCATTTTCAAAACAAAATCGGTAAATTTCATTGCTTAAAAGCTGAAAAATTTGATTTTTTACCTCCGTCTCACTCATACAAAACTTACAAAATATTATTTCTTTTAGCCCTCTTTTTTTTTCTCCTTTTTTTTCTTCTCCTATTAGCCTTACATTACAAATTTTCACTACTTTTCTTCACGCTGCAATTGAAATAGGTAGACGATGCAAAAGTATTTATGTAAGGAAAATGAGTAAACAGATAACTTGTTCTTTATAATAATTTAAAAAGCATTCATGCCAGTTAATAAAGCATCACGCTATTTTCAACGAGATAAATAATATTTGATAGATCTTGATAAATCAGATTGTTTGCGTTCACATTTTAAATTAAGTTCATCACCTAAACTAATCTTCATCGAGTTGATGTTTTGATTAGCGATAAATTAAGTTTTTCAGTCTATCGCGTTGTTCTACTACGTTCAGTCTACTCGTAACTGTTAGGAAATGTTTAAAACTTGCAAGATCAGAAGTAGGGCAAGGTCAAAATCTTTACATAGGTCATGGAAAACGGACCTCTTCTAGACATTTTAGTGCTCCAGCTAGTTGGAAAGTACTCTCCATTTCAATTTAAAAATTCCATTGTAACAAACATGGAAGCGAGTTGATAAAAGTGTTGTAAATGTAGTGCTTATTTTTTTTTAAGATGTAGTTTTTGTATAAAATTAAATTGCTTGTACAGTATTCAAAAGGTATATTTTGTGCCTAAAAAAAAAAGCTCGAATTAAGCACAGAATAAAACATTTCTGTATCTTATTTGTGTTTCATTCACGTTTTTTTTAAATTTTTTTTTTATTTTGTTTACAAACTCATTCAGATGCAATATTTCATTTATAATTTGTCTCTTGCATTATGAAATGCCATTTACAATCAACTTCAAACGTCTGCGTTTATTCACCTACCCTTATTAAAAATGAATTATCCTTTTTAAAAGAAATACTTTAATTACTGTTCACATCTTATCAAAGCCGGTGAATGGTTTCGTTAAGAGTAAAGTTAAATGATCTCTCTGCATCGAAATGTCAACATTGTGCTTATCGTTCATTTATTTGCTTTGGAACATTCATCACTTAACTTGAAGTTTTAAAGTCAGCGAAAACTTTTCTTTATCGGTACATTCGTCGAACTTCGACTTTTTATGGCTATTTGATTGTTATTCTTTGATCTTTTAGCTATTTGAGGACTCTTATACTGTATATTTTGCCCCTTACCCTTTACCCCCTTTTACTTAAGACATATAGTGTGCAAAAGCAAGAAATTAAAATTTACATACATGGTTTTCTTTCATATTTTTATTAATATTTACGAACATACCTCTATTTATTTTAATCTTTATAATGGACCCGTTACCCTTTCCCCCCCTTTTTTTTTCCTCTTCTTTTTAACATGTATTTATAACGTGTGCATAGGACAAGATGATAAAATTTACGAAATTTTACGAACTTGTGATTGGTATCCTGAGTTAATATAATTTATTTTATAACCGTCGTTGAACAGCAGACCCTATTGTTTTGATTTACGACTACTAATGTTCAACTCTATAACCTTGTAATTTTGAACCCGTTCCAGAAGACAAGGGAACTCTTGAATGAAGTAGTATTGGGAAAAATTTGCCTTCTTTGAGGGAACTAACCCGCATTTGCGTTACATGGAGAAGAAAACCACCAGAGCCTCCCACGGTTAGCTTTGCCAGCAAGGGAACTCTACCCCATGATACGTCGACCACTGAGAATATTTTACATCAGCAATGTGGTCAGTACAAGCCGGGTGCGGAATTCACTTCGACCATCGATTTTTAAAATATGATTATATTTTTTAACCAAAATTTAAGTAATTTCTCTTTTTAAAATAAATACTTTAAAAAATTATACGTCTCTGAATCGTTAAAACTGGCATTTAAGTTGTATTTGATTTAATACTAAACTTACTTCAGATATACTCCTAACAGTAAAAAGAAAATGTTTTCCTGTTTTGTTCTTAAACTACATTCCCCTCCCCCCTATTCATGCTAGAGAAGCCCATTGTGGACGAATACTTGAAATAGACAAGATAATCGTTCCATTCTTTCTTTACACGCAAAAGAAGCCGTACTAAATTGTGTCTTTCTAATACGCATGGGAAGTTTTAGTGACTGGTCTACTATTTTCCTTTCGAAGAGAAATTGGATTACTCTGGTTGTGCTAAAAATAAACTGTGTTGTAAAAAATAAATAAGATTTATCAAAAATGCAATCGAATCTCGTTTAAAATCTTCTCATGGGCAGAAGGATTAAAATTACCCTAGTTATTTTTGGCAATATCAGAAATTATTAAAATCGTATAACGGAATAAATGTTTTTTTCCCTTCTAATTTCCAATCAGAGTCACGATGACTCAGTGAATCGAGTGCTCGCCTTCCAATGAGGTGACACTGGTTCGAATAATAGCAATGGCTGGCCGATACGAATTCTGTTCCCGAATACTGATTTAAAAGCATCCTCGGTGGTAGACGGATCAGTTTAGAATCTCTTTGCCGAAAGATTAACCGTAGGAGGTTTTCCGTGTAATGCAAATGCTTGTTAGTTCCATCAATAAGTTCTCTACGAAGGCTAGTTTTTCCCTATGCTTCTCTCGTCTTCTGGATTTTGTTCAAAATTACAAGGCTACGGAGTTGAACATAGCCGTAAACTCAAAATTGGGTTTGCTGTTCAAAAGCTGTTCGCCTCGATATGGGAATCCAGGATATAATCCCAGCGATGGGTGATCGATGCAAATTCTGCTCCAACTTGCACCGACCGCAGTGCTGACGAGAAATATCCTAGGTGGTAGACGGATCATGGGTTAGAATCCCCTTGTCTTCAGTTCAACCGTACAATTTTCGTAATTTTTACCTCCGTGTAACGCAAATGCTCGTTAGTTCCACCAAAAAAGTCCTTCACGAAGACTAGTATGTCCCGGTGGTTAATTTACAATTCAGCGGCCTTTAATGTATCGTTGTCTCCCTCTCTCTTTTTTTTTTAATTGAGATTTTTCTCTTGGTTGTAATTAGTCGCAGTTGCAACGCAAGTTTTTATTTCTTTAAAAATTTGATGCCTAAGCTAAAATGTCAGAAATTCTTTTAATTTAATTTAAGAAAATACCAACCCAGAAGTGTGGGCTTGTAAAAGGCTGATGGATTGGAAAATCTAGTTCCGATCCAGGAGTCCTCGTGTCTTTTGGGTTGGGTTCAGAATTGCGAGGCTACTGAGCTGACATCAATGGTCGTTAACCCGAAAATGGGACGGCTGTTAAACGTTGAATCAAAAATAAAATAAAATTACCGCTTTTAATTAAATAGCATAGAATAGGAGTAAAGCTTTCGCTTCAGAGTAAGCATGCTATGACTACACTTTAGTCTTTGCTGTAAATTTTCCTGCCCCACCCCAGGTACTATTTTTCTTTAACGTGTATTATTAAAAAGTATCAATTGTAAATCGAAAACTAACCCATTTTCCTAATTTAACCAACGTTTTATTCTTTAATAGGTACTATTAATATTTATGAATGAATTATCATTTATTCCACAACATATCTCTAGCAATAATTAATAAGTAAAAAAAAGTAATTTTTGCTTTTTTTCTATGTCGTGTACGTACCACAGTTTGTAGAAGGGTTAATTATGCTGTTTTACGAGATACCTTATGTGTTTGAATCAATATTCATACCACATGAATATTAAATTATTTTTTTCTTCCTTGCCTCAGTTTCTTACTCAAAAATTATTTTTATTCCCCAAATCTCTGGCGCTTATTGCATGAAACGTAATTAATGGTAATAATTCTTCTTTCGCATTTTGAAAACTTGGAGAGATAAAATGTAGCTGTGAATATCAAGATTTTTGGATTGATTTATGTTTATATGGATACTCACTTTTTTGTGTTGTGACTTTACTTCTTTCTCTCTCACACTGGCACGTTTATTTATTTTTTAATGAGACAAGAGATAAGATATTTTTAATATATAAACTTGTGTACCTGCTGCCCTTTAATGCTGTCCATATAATGTAGGAACTGTTTTTTTTTTTTTTTTTTTTTTTTTTTTTTTTTTTTTTTTTAAATTTTTATCTCATAATTTTTGTTTCCTTAAAGAACAAACGGATATGAGGGAATGGGTTAATTGGATCAATATGCATTTCAGAAATTTGTTGTAGAACCAATTGTACTGCTATGTTTTGATACATATGATAGTAGTGATGCTTAGAAAATACAGGTTTAACCACTAAGTAGCTCTTATAACTTTTCCTTCTCCTTGGCTATTTTCAGGTTTTCTTTATGCTTTTTTTTGTAGTCATACTTAATTTCTAGCACCATTTTTGTTTGTTACTTGGAATATGAATTATTATTGTATAAATTTTTTACCTTAAATTTAGCTAGGATGTAGTTATATCCTTTTTGTGGGTCATTTCATTGAACTCTATTATGTGTAATTTTGCATTTAATATATTTATTTTATTTAAAAAATTTTGAATTTTTTAACTAAAAACTATTTACAGCTAATATTAAAAATTCTAAAATTTACTTTGATTTCTTAAATTGTGATGCTTATATAAACTGTATGAAATGTCATATTTAGAACATCAAATATAAATATGTATATTTTCAGAACACAAAGTTGTGATAGTGGGTCTTGATAATGCTGGAAAAACAACTATTTTATATCAGTTGTAAGTAGTTATTCTTTTTTGTTTTAAAAACAAAAAATCCTTGTATCTTAATTTATTTTCCTAAATAGCCACTTTTTGCTCAGTTTTTATAATTATTATAATTTTTTTATGCAAAAGATATCCTCTATCAACAACTATAAATAAAATGTAAAAGCGAATTATAATTAACGTAAAAATAAAAATTCTTAGTGACATTTTAGTGAACCCGAGTAAAATTTATTCATTGACAATAGGAAATAAAAAGTATACCTCTGTTTCTAGTCTCTAATCAAGTTAAAATCTCTGAATCCCCATCACTGATTTAAACTGATGGTGGTATCATAGCATTTGCATATGACATAAGAATTTGTTGACAAAAAGAGAAGTTTACTCTTTGACTCTATAAGAATCCAAAGCCTGACTGAGGCAGATGCATATGGGACAGTTGAGAGGGTCTCCAAATCGCATAGAAAGTTTATTTTACGTTTAATTTTTTAATGAACTTTTTTTAAACAAAATATTGGTACAGTGTAAAATCCGTCAGTTTTATGTAAACTTCTTTATTACTATATCGTATGAACACAAAAAATCTATATTTCGTAAATCCATGGCTTTCCAGGGCAGAATTCAGCTCAATTTTCGCAATTATGGTGGACAAATTTGACCAATCAAAAGCCTGTATTTTTACATATCGCAAAGTACTTTTGATTGCCTTAATTGAGCCATCGTAATTGAGAAAATGTAGCTGAATTCCGTTCTGTCAGAAAGGATATGAATTTTTCGCAGCTAGATGACAATCAGAAAACTGCATTCGACATGATGAGCATAGAGAAAATCAATTAAATGGACAGAACGATATTTCGTCTGACCATTGGAGGGGGGGGGACTTCATAGCTATTTTACATTCTAGTCAATTTTCTCGTTATGTTATCTATAATGAGGCGAAAAATTTAAATACCTTTATAAAGTCCTGTTCTTTATAACTGAAGTAGTAAAGCAGAGAGGGCCCCCAAAGAAGTTTTTGCCCCGGGCCTCAATTAGGCTAAGTCCGGCCCTGTGAGGATCCGCTACAATTTGAGCTGGTTGTCAAAAGGATGAATATATTTCAAGTTAGCTGAACAAGACTATCTAAAGAACGGAATGGGGTGATTTAGAACAAGGAGTGCAAAAAATTGGTGAATGGATCTTGAATAACCACTTGAAAAGAATGATGACACCTGCTATAGACTCTTTGTTACCCAATGTGCTTTGAACTTTCTTCCACTTTAGAAAGATTCAAAGTTTGACTTAATTCTTTCATCCCCTGATACTTGCAAAATTAAAGGATAAGCAGAATAAATTAAAGCTGCTTAGTTAAGACATTTTACATGGAAGATATTTTACCTAAAAATCTCCATTTTCTCAAAAATATTAGTTAGAACATTCTTTTAGTTAGCTTGTCAAATATGAATACTAATTAATACTTCTCTTCTTAATTCAAACTGCTATAATTTCATAATTAAAGAAAATGTATATTGTGTATTACTTTAGTCTAATGGATGAAATTGTTCACACATCACCTACCTTATAATTTGATAATTAAAGAAAATGTACATTGTGTATTATTTTAGTCTAATGGATGAAGTTGTTCACACATCACTTACTATATAATTTGATAATTAGAGAAAATGTATATTGTGTATTACTTTAGTCTAATGGATGAAGTTGTTCACACATCACCTACCATTGGAAGCAATGTGGAAGAAGTTGTATGGAAAAATGTGCATTTTATTATGTGGGATCTAGGAGGACAAGATTCTTTAAGAGCTGCTTGGAATACTTATTATAGTAATACAGAAGTAAGATTATTAACATGCTATGTGATCAACTCTTAAAAGTAAATTTTGCAAACATTTTTTTTTAACACTTTGAATATGTACCGATTTATATTTACTTTAAGAATGAAAGTGCTTTAAGTTAGCTTTGTATTTACTTTAAGAATTATGTTTAAGTTTGCTTTAAGAATGGAAAGTAATTTTTCCAGTAATTCCTGAACATAGCACATGATTCAAATTATGTGTAGATGTACAAGTTTTGTGAAGATGTTTAAGTACAGTTTAGGTAATCTTGATATTTGCAATTATACTGAATTTTTTTCATTGCAGTAGATAAAGTTTAAGAAAAATCTTACCATTATTAGTCTAGCGTTTTTAGTATATCATTACATGCAGAATGAAAAGTGGTATATGAATCCCCTACACAGGAAATAAATATTTCCTGTGTAGGAGACCAAATTTAATATTCAGCTTGCTGTTTTCTAATAAAAATTTTAAATTAAATGACCTTTTTTTAAAAAAGTTGTTATTTAAGTGTTGATCAACAAAAGTTTTTAAATTTTAATAAAAACGGTTTTCTTCCCAAAAAGATTATTCAATGCCTCTTTTTAATTTTTAGATTTTGATTATGTTCATAATGGGTATAAATAGTATGATGTGTTCCTAGCAAAATAAACTTAAAATTCTCAGTTTTATTTAAAAATAAAAAGCTTTTAATCGAGGATGCACAACATGTAGCCCATGAACCAAAATTGGCCCCTGAATAGTTTTTTTTTAAGCTTTGGAAAAAAAATACTGTTTTATTATATTATTGTTATTATTATTTTATTAAATTTATTTTTTACTTGTCTTACTACATTGTAATAAACGCCTGAACTTGACTGTAAGTATTTTGTTTTCTAAGATCCTTCATTGTACACTATTCTTACGAATTTTACAAAAAAGTTGTAATCCTAATTTTAATTATTGGATTTCATCTATTTATATTACCTATTTTCAATATCTTATTATCTCTTTCATTTTCAAATTTAGACTTCTAATACTTACCCTGAAAAACATCACCTTTTTATTGATGGAATTTATATTTTTTTATAGTTTCTCATAGTAGTTGTTGACAGCACTGACAGAGAAAGATTATCTATAACTAAAGAAGAGCTATGGCGGATGATTGCTCATGAGGTTAATTTTATTTATTAGTTGCATTTTTTGTTTTTATAAAATGTTAAAAAATTCTAACACTGCACTTTAGATTTTTTTTTTTTTTAAAATTGTTTCGAGCACTAATACTATAAATCCAATATAAAGAATTTATTTTTATTAGCAATTTTTGTGCAAGTTTGCATTCAACTATTAATCTACACTGTCAAGGTCTTAAAACCTCTTAGCTTATTTATTATATGCTAAATCATGAAATATTGTCTGATTAATTATTATATTTCATTATAGCTTTCGAATGCTATTAATTCTGAAGCAGTTACAGGAAAAAATTAAAGTAATTTCTGTGTCAATGTTAATCGAAAAAAATTTATGTTTTTCTTGATCAATAATATTTTGTTTCGTAAGTATGAAGTTACTTGAAAAAATGCAAAAGGTCATGGGGCAGAATGGTAAATATTTGACTGATTAAACTTCATTTCATCTTCATTATAGCTTGCGAATGCTATTAATTCTAAAGCAGTTACAGGAATAAATTAAAGTCATTTCTGTGTCAATGTTAATCGAAAAAAATGTATGTTTTTCTTGATCAATATTATTTTGTTTTGTAAGTATGAAGTTACTTGAAAAAATGCAAAAGGTCATGGGGCAGAATGGTAAATATTTGACTGATTAAACTTCATTTCATCGAAAATAAAAAATAAAAATTGTGTTTTATTTCACACTAAAAAATCACAATTTTCTTCTTAACCCAATATCTACTATGTTAATTAGTTTTTTATCTATGCTGAACGGCATAAAACAGAAAATGTAATAAACTTTGTACTGTTTTTTCCTTTTTTTTTTATAAGACTCATTACATATGCCAAGAAAAAGAAAATCAAGTTTTTCAGAATCCAGTAGAATTGAATTAAATTTTAGTGATATTAACTGGAAAAACTAAAAATTTTAAACTGAATGAAAATTAAAAATTTAGTATTATCATTGTTGTTAATTGCTGTATTTATGCTGTTTTAGAAAAAAAAAGAATAAACTGAAATCTAATTTGCTTCTTTGTTATTTGTAAAATATAAGGCTAAAGGAAAATTAAGTTTACATCTATTTTTTTAGGATTTAACAAAATCAGCAGTTTTAGTGTTTGCGAACAAGCAAGATATCAAGGGATGTATGACACCAGCTGAAATATCAGAACAATTGAATCTTACATCATTAAAAAAGCATAGATGGCATATACAGGCTTGCTGCGCATTATCTGGTGAAGGGTAGGTTTTTAAATTTATAAAAAATTTTCTGTTTTGGTTGCTAGGTTTGGTGCTTTTCAACCTAAAATATTTTATGATTGGAATAAATTTTCTCTGCATATATATATATATATGTAAAATTATTAAATTATAGCACAAATTTTTAAATACAATCTATCATATTTGTAGGGAGGAAATGAAAAATTCAAAATATTGAAAGTTGGAGTGATCGAAAATCATACTTAAAAAAATATTTTAAAATAATATTTCCTCGCGTTCTTACAAATTAATGTATTTTTTTATTGAAACAAATTATGTGCCTAAAGAAAAAATATTAAATAAAATTTTTTTTTAGTTGTTTGCGGAAGATAGAATGATGTTTTATCAATTACTTCGTACTAGAGTTCAATAACTTTAAATGTATTCTTCAATATACTTTACTGACTTTCAACACATTTTCTTGTAGAACATGCATCAAATAATCCTTCTTTGTCTCTGTTATTTTGTGGTTTTACCTCATACAAATATCACTGATCGTATGCTGTCACTAGATTATCAAGGCTACAAAACTATAGAATTTCATATTATCGAGTTACATGAATACTTTAATAGAATGATATCAAAATTTTTAAAAGCCACCCTCATTTCTGATAATTATTATTATTTTTTAAATTTCTGTGTTCTAGAATTTAAGTTATATTTTCAAAAAGGAAAAAAATGCATTTCTAGAAAAAAGAAAGAAAAAAACTTAAAACAAGCTTTAAAAAAAAAGAAAATTTATTTGGAAATTTGAAAAGAAGTTCAAAAAATCAAAAATGTCCTGAAACTGATGTTCGAATTCACAAGGTTTAATTATATGTATATATTTCTAATATAGTGTTTATACAATACAGTTTTATGTTATGCAAAGGCCATTAAAACTATAGTGTCATGATTGAGGTCTTAAATGTGGACAAGCAATGAAGAAGATTATAAATATTAAATTTGAAAGTACTTTATATGAATGTGAGTACAAAAGATATGCGTGTTAATAAAAATACATGGTATAATAAATCATGAACCAAAATGAAACTGCTTTCCACTAATAGATTGTGATGTAAGACCATGATAGAGGCCTTATGCTCTAAATTAAAATAAGTATGAAAGTGAATATATGTATATACATGTTATAGAAAAATAAATTGACTATCATATTTAAGACTTTGTCTACCATCGATGCATATATGTTAACCATTGGTGTACACTATGACCGCAAACGCACGGTGGACAATGGTTTTGGCTATTTACTGCTGTCTTTTCTGTATGTTTTGAATTTATTTCTATCATATGTGTCCAACACTCATAAAAAACTCATACCTCCTTGACTTGCTACAAGAAAAAAAAATTTAAATCTTGTTTATTTGGCCAGTAATTTCCTGTATCTTAAATTTATTTCAACTTATGCCAAACATGTGTGATTGTTCCGTTAGAATATTGTAATATAACATTTGTGGTGCATGTGATTTTCATATTATTTGCTGTGGTTACTAGCATAAAATTGAACAGCAGTTTCGAAAAATTTGTTGACTTACATGACAACAGTGACTTACATGAAACCTTAGATTTGAGTAAAGATTATAAGGGGGAAATACACAAAATGCACCAAAAAAGTCTCCTGTTTCTGTTTTGAGTAATATAAAAATTAATAAGGTTGTAATTATGTATAGATATAAAAATATAAGCTAAGGAATACTTAGTACAAAGTAGATTTTAATTCAAATTTGAATTTTGATGCTGGTGAAATGCTTTGAACTATTTCAAACCCATATTACATGTATTTAATGATCAAAATTCTGGAATGAAAAGAAGTTTAACTTCGAAATGCATATCTTTAGATGCTTTACAACTTCTCTTTTTCGAAGAATTAGTTTCCTATATTACACCGGAGTTGAAAAATGTTTTGATATTAGTGAACAAAAATACTTCGCCTAAAACACATTCTTGTATGAATTTATCAAAAGATGCATCAATATATGAAAGGTACGAGTTTTTGACCATAATGATGCAACAGAAAACATATTCCCCTGGAACAGGAAAGCTTTGAATTTGTAGGGAATTTGATTTTGGAAAAAAAGGAAAACAAGGATGAACCTTGTAAAAACCTGGAGAAAAGATTTTGAAATTAGTGGTCACAATAAGTGACCAATGATGTTCAAAGTTTTACATACATTTTTATTATATCTTGAAAAAATATAAATATTAAGTTTTGAAAGATACTCTTTGTTAAAAAATTTCCTGTTTAAAATTTTTTCTTCGGTCGTACATTTTTAGTTGTTTAGTAGCACAATGTAGTGATTCGAAGCTTTTAAAATTAAACTTTTTGTATAAATTAATATTAGTTTGTAATCACGAGTTAATATGATGGCTGAGTCTATAAATGATATATCTCTATTTATAATTTGTTTCATTAAGTTTTAAAAACTTTCCTAGTCTCTGTACAAAGTTATGTTTTTATATATAATTTTGAAATATACTTGTTTCGTAAGCTTTCATCTAAACTAAACTTATACTAACATATACTTGTATGTTATTTAAGTAATGTTAAGCATTTATCTAAAGATTTTATTTTTTACAAATTTAATATTTGGCAAATTGTCTGTAAAAAAGCAAGTTTCAATGCTAATTGAGTAAAAAAAAATATTTTTCTGATGATTGATGCTTGTAGCAAAAATATAACCTGGAATAATATAATAAAAACTCATTTTTAAAAAGCTATGAGATTTTGGCAAATGTTTCATTTTGGTAATAAAAACATATAGAGGGATGTCCTATTAATAAAAATTGAAATATAGCAATTCCTGACTGTCGGGAATAAAATGAGTTATTCAAAAATATCGTCAAGGGAAAAAAGTGGGTGCTGAGAAAGGAAATATAGTAAACCTACCATATTGTTTGACAGATAAGGATAGATATTTTTGTTTGAAAGTTTTAAATGTAGCAGGAAATTTTAGAAGAAAAAAACCTGTTTTCTGCAAGAAGCATAAAAGAAAAATAAATAACAAAAGAGTATACAACAAGAGATTATAAGAGTGTTCAAAATATGACATTAGATTTTGTGTTAAGACTTAATTTGAGATTAATCATATGCATTTGAACTATTAATTTTCTTATTGTTCTTTCTTAAACCAAAAGTTTTGTTTACATATAGAGTGATTATGCTTCTTGTTATTTGTTCAATATTTCAGTATCGAAATACTTACATTATAATTATGAAATTATGACATTTCAAAACTTTATCATTGGAAAATTAAAAATTTATATTGGAAAATTAACACTATATATTGGAAAATTAACAATTTATATTGGAAAATTAACAATTTATATTGGAAAATAAAAAAAAAATGTTAGGACACATTTTAGAATAGAAAAAGTAATCATAGTTGGATTGAGTGCTATATTATAATGTGTCACTTCAATTGAAGAAAATGTAGATAACTTTCATTCTTTGATATATTTTACAGAAATTTTCTTCTTAAATATAGTATATCTATGAAATATTCTTAAAAAGTTGTCTGTTATTCATTCAAAAAGATCATAAATATTTTAGTGGTAAACAAATTTGTAATCAAATAAAAACAGTAAAAACTGTAACCAAAATATTTATATTGTAGATTTTAATTATGATCCTGTTGGTGAATTATATAATCAATTACCCNATGACTGTAATTAATCTCCCTGTCTGACACCAACATCAATATCTAAAGAATCTAAAATCTCATCCACAAGACAACAGCGACTTTAAACCCTCTGGGCTGCAGGAGCAGATGTCTCGGTTAGGTGGTCTGCCGAACGCGAAACCCCCAGTGTTTAGTTCTCAAGCATGCTTGGTACTCATTTATTGACCTACATAAGGGATGAAAGGCTGAGTCAACCTTGCCTGGCCCGAGGATCAAACCCAGGACCTGTGGCACGGGAGCGCGAAGCCCTACCACTCAGCCACCAGGTGCTTAAGATCACTAAAAAAATGCAAAAATGGCAATGTTATATTCATAAACTTTTCTAACTATGTTACGGGTAGTAAAGATTTGTACAGTTGTTAAGTAACCTGCTCTAAAGCCACATTGATACTCATATTATATTCTCAGCAAAGGGTAATAATTTTCTATAAATTAAGCAAGTGAAAATTTTATGGAAACTATTTAGCAGAATGAAAACCTGTTAATTGTTACAGTCCAATTTGTCACCCTTTTTATATATTGATACGACTATTCCCATTTCTTCAATCGCTTGGATTTAGTTATAGAAACTTATAAGCTTGACAGGATTAATATCGATATATTTTGTAATGCGAAACACTATAAACAGTTTACAACTCTTCTCATAACGAGATTTGATCCTCGATAGATATTTTATGTAAGAAGCCCAGAGATTAGATACAGCCCTTGAATGGAAAATCCCACCTTCTAGCAAAATAATGATAAGAATTTCAGAATATCCTACACAAATTGCGTAAGAAAATGTACGAATTGTTTTGTTTTTAAATCATTGTCATCTTTTTAAGTCATGAACTAACCCATAAAAAACCCAGAAGTTTTAACTTAAAGATTCCAAAATGCAGAAAAACCAATTCAAATGTTTCTATTTAATTTTTTTAGAATTTATTTAATCAAAACATAATTAAATGAAATATAGTTCAGGGATTCATTTTTCACAACAAAAAGATACAAAACTATATTAAATTTAAATAATGAATGTCTACAAATTTTAATTTTTTTATTAATATTAAAAATATTATTTATGTATTTAGTGTATATTTTGCATAATTTTCTCTACACAAATGGTATTAATCTTATTACATTTTAGGATACTTTATCTATTAATTCACATAAAAATTAACTTTATTGTGCCTCTCAAAAGTACTTTTCCCCCTCTAGTTCTAAAAATGGTTGTGCACCCATAATCCAAGCTTTATTGATGTACTACCAAAATAATAAATTAATTTTAATTTATTTCAAAAGTTTTTGTCACGGATCATAATTTGTAAACTTAGCATGGAATCATCATGGCACTCATGCCCGTTTTGGAATTAAATGAAGTCTTTTGTCCTTTTAAATAACTTTCTTGTTAAAATAATATGTTATTTTTTTTCTATATAAATTACCAAACACTTAGAGATCTATTGTTTTTATAATAATATTCAGTGTTATTAACCCTATATAACTAAACAATTGTCAAATGGACTCGCAACTTTTGCCATGTTACCTTAAGACATTAACATCTTCTGAGATTTTAACTGTTAAAATTAATTGCTCACTTATATTTGGTACCTTTCTAGTTTAGAGGCCATAAAGAAAACAAAAACTATTGATGTGTTTAGTGATTATGTAGCTGTATTTATTTATTTATGATATTAGGTTCTCCTAGTATTGTGTTAATTGTCAATAGATGCACTAATATACAGATAGTGTNCATCTTCTGAGATTTTAACTGTTAAAATTAATTGCTCACTTATATTTGGTACCTTTCTAGTTTAGAGGCCATAAAGAAAACAAAAACTATTGATGTGTTTAGTGATTATGTAGCTGTATTTATTTATGATATTAGGTTCTACTAGTATTGTGTTAATTGTCAATAGATGTTGTAATACTTCATACACTAATATACAGATAGTGTATTTATAGTTATTTTGCGGCCACTAAGACACATAAGTTAAACAGATACGTAATTAAAATTTTAGAGTATTTCTCTTAAATTACTCTGACATAAAAAAAAGTGTGCATGTTTTAAATTTGTAACGTATGAGTCATATGGTTAAATTAATGAGTAACATAGGTTTTCTTTTTAATTATCAAGTGTTAAAACTAGTTAATTGCTTTTGAACTGTACTGTATTTCACTTACCGTTTTTCTCAAGGTATTAATTTGTTTTCCTTTTCAGTCTTTATCAAGGACTTGAATGGATATACTCTAATTTGAAAAATAGGAAGTGACATTCAATTTCCTATTAGTGCCTGAAAATTCTTCCCTAATATCAATTGATGATTCAAAACGAAATACTCTCTATCTTACTCTAATATTGTAAATGAACAGTACTTTTTTACTTAAATTTGTATTTTATGGAATTTATTTATTTGTAAACTTTTGTGCACTTATAAGTTTAAACATACCTTTTATAATTTCTTCAATCGATTTTCAAATTGGTTCGTTGAATGACTACTTTGTCATGAGTTACGTCAAAATAATAAAATTTTACCTTGAGCATGATTTTATATGAACTCCACAATGACTTCCTTCGTGGTTTTGGTGTAAATAAAGATATTTTGCTGCTAGCAAAATAAATCTTAAATGAAATCATTTTTTTTTCTCTTATTATTATTAGTTTTGTGTGATATATTATTTTTTTTTTAAAGTTCACATGTTTTAACTAGGACTTTTGAATTTAATACTCATTTTATTACTTAAACATTTTCCTTCTGAAAATTGGTTGCATTTATAATGGCTGTAATATTTTAGGAAAGTTACAGATTGTTGTATCTAGAAATTTTAGTCTTAAGCCTCATATATAAAATCATTTTTGTTTTAGTTTTTTTTAAAACTTTGGTTAAATGGAAATGAATACTTATTATTGTTATGAAATATTATGTATAAGTAATTTAAGAACAATATTTTGAAAAAAAAACAACAACTTTCTATTATGTATGGTGACAGTTGTGGTATTACAATTATTTTCTTCTTTATATTATCTGTTGAATAATTAAAATATATTTTTTCATTAAGATTAAATTACTATGTAAATGGATGTAATTAAGGTTCAATAATTATTCAGTAACTATTTTCATTGTTACACTTTGAATGGATTAACATTAATTAAAAGTATATAATTTATTCATATTTTATTAATTATAAATGAACTGTTTAGTTGGTATTTATTGAAAATGTTTTATAGATAGAAATAAAGCTATTCATTATCATTATTTTCATATTTGTATTTATAACTTTCATATCCATATAAATCACATGTAATATTCATAATATTTTCTATGTGTTTGGATTTTTGGCAAGTTAATATTTCATTGCTCATTTATAAATACTATTTTTCAAATTCATTATTATATATTGTTCTTTATATGTGATGCACTAAATTCTGTAAATATTATTTAAAATCTATCTTCCAGTTTGTAATAATTTGCTTGTATGTATAAAAAGAAAAAATTAGTACACAAAACTGTGAGATGGTCTCACTACAGGAAAAACATGATTTTATGAAACATTGCATATATTATGTGCAAAATAATGCAAAGCTTATGCAACTATCCAATAATTACTGTTATTTTGAGCTCATAGTCTAAGTTCTAATATGCATTTGTGTATGCATTGTGTAACAACTGACATAATTATATAATTGTGTTTTGTAAATTCATTATATAAAGTTTTTCATCATTTCTATGCATTAAAATTTTTTTATAATACATCAGTTTCATTATAAAATCGAACATATATATGATTAGAAACCAAATATTAATGCTCAGAAATTTTCCATTGCTTTTCAATTTANAAAAAAAAAAAAAAAAAAAAAAAAAAAAAAAAAAAAAAAAAAAAAAAAAAAAAAAAAACAGAATAAATAACAGAAATATGTTTTTCATTATTTGCATGAAATTTTTATAATATATTAATCTCAATATAAAATCAAACACATATATGTTTAAAAAAGTAGAAATTTTTCAAAAATATTGTCTTTCCATTTTTTTCAAATTTCTGTCTTTTTTTCAGTGTGAGAAAGGAATTTCATTAAAAATAGTACATAAAATTGCTGTCCTTAATTATTTAAAATTTTAAAGGGGTCGTAACCATAGTATGTTTAATTTTTTTGTAAAAATAAATTTAATTATAAATGTCCTATAGAATTAAAAAGATTCATCATAACTTTGAAAAATGACCCAAAATGTTGTCATTTTTGGAGCTCAACACATTCAAAAATGCATTATGTGAAGGTTGGAAGCTAATTGTTATGCACTTGTTAACATATATACCTTCAAAGAAATGTTATTAATAAAAAGTTTTACAAAAATCCATAAAGATGTTGGGCTGCTAAATAAAACTATAGAAAGGTCAGATTTTCCCGATATTTTTAATTTCCATTTAATTTGTGAATGCCCCTTCAGTTTTATTAACTCTTTTGGTTTCTAAAAATTGTAACTTGTAGATAATTAATTACGTGTAAAATTTCTATCAGCATTACAGGAAACAATCTTTGTTACTATTAAAAAACTATGTAATTTAAGTATGTCACTGCTGAAAAGTATCACTGTAAGCTGAAATACATGCATATGGTTTCAAAAAGTAGAGATTTACTAGTTGTGAAATTAAGTGTGAACTATGTGCTCAAAATTGCAGTAGTTATTATTCTTTATTTTTTTGTAATTAAAAATTTCTTTTTATTTTACAGATTTATGTCAACTGTACATTTTATACTGATATTTAAACCGAATACTGATAAGTGTATCTATTTCTATTCTGAATAATAAAAAAATACATTTTCTTTTCATTTGAATTTTTTTTTAGCTCTCTAAGTGTGAAAACAATTGAACTATAAAAGGAGTTTACTTAAATATAAAGTAAATTACTATGCTAAAATCTAGATGGAACTCCAGTATCAAATTATTATTTTTTTTATCATTAGTTACAGTTTTAAAATGTATGCATTTTGCACACAACACATATTAATCAGATTATAATTGTTTTTAATACTTGAAAAGATTAATTTTTTTTCTTATAGAGTTTAATATTTGTTTAGTTGAATAAAATTCAATTTAATAATAGAAAATTTTCACCTTGGTAAAAATAGTTAAACGAATTGTATGAGACGCAAATGATTTGATATGACTGAATTTATAAAAAAAAAATTCTCTAAACATTGCATTTTAAGTTATGTTGATAGTCAAATTGTGGATAAAATTGACAACATAATTGCTAGCAGACCTGATATTGATTAGGTGGAAGAATAGCATGCTGAATGATGTCCACGTTAGGGCACTGTATGAAATATTTATTCCATTTTGCAGTATTTTTTTTTTAATATTTTTGATGAGGGCATGATATTCATTAATTTTCTGTTCTCTTTCTTTATTGTGAATAAATTTTTTTTTCTTTTGTTTTTAATTTTTATTGTCAGCAATTTTTTTGAGTATTTTTTTAATGTTTTACCCTGAAAAGTAAACCGCTCTCTTAAAATTTTTTGACTTCCATTTATCCAATGTACAATAACTAATGAATTAATACTTTAAATCAAATAATTGAAGCCAAATTTGGTCATTTTAATTCTTCAAAGTTGTATCCTGTAGAATCATTAATTCATGTCTGTATAATTATCAATTTTGAAAATTTATCCTAGTATAAATTTGGTACAGTATTTGCAAGTTAAGAAAAAGTAAAGTTAAAGCATTTATAAAAACACTTACGCTAAAAATATATGAGTAATAATTGAAATTTAATTGATCTCGCAAACAAATCTTTATACATTAAAAACCAATGAAATGACTATTTCATGCATTCTCATTGAACAAGTAAATTGATAAGTTAAATGCATGGCAGTAAACGAATGTGATAAATAAAATTGATAACCTAAGCCAAATCTCCTGAGTTAGTAAAAATTTGAAATAATAAGATTAGGATCATAAACTTTTTTTTTAATTCTAGAAGGTGATAATTCTTTAATATTAGGTTATCATTATGAAAATGTAAGCATGATTACTTAAAGTTACCATAATGTTACAGTAAACCAATGCTGTAAGCAAAATTTACACAACTTAAGCAGGGTTCCATGGTCCTTAAAAACTGCTTAATTTTTATTTTGGAAATAAGGGCCCTTAAAAGTACACTTAATTTTAGTACAAGGTTTAGTTAAAATTCCTTAATTTTTCAGCATCACTATAGTTGATAGGAACCAATCTTCAGTTCAATTTTTTAAAACAAAAGTTCTTTTATCACCTAGAATTAGACCATACATCGAGAGTCAAACATTTTAGAGAGACAAAAAGAAATGTGCAAGTGGGGGGAGGGGCTACCGGCAAAGGAAAGAAAGCATGTCCTTTTATTAATATATTGGTTCTTTTATTAATATATTCTGCCTTTGCCTAGAATGATACTCTACAAGGAGAGTGAAGCATTCTAAAAGAATAGTGTGGACAAGGGGGATACTGCACATAGGAGATTGTGCTTTTTTCGGGTTGGGGGCAATTTTAAGGTACCTAAGTAGAAGACCGAATAAATTTATAATATTTTAATGTGTAATCAGTAACTGTAAATTTATAGAAAACAGTAACATATTGATGATTGTACTAAATATTGATGGAAGTACTAAATATTGATGATTGTACTAAATATTGATGAAAGTACTAAATATTGATGATTGTGACATATTCATGATTGTACTAAAAATTAAACCGATCTGTAATAAACAGGGTTTGAAAAATTCCTGCCCACTTAGGTTTTTGATGAAAAACCTTTGCTTTTTAGATGAAAACCTCAAGTTTTTTTTAAAAAATACTTAATTTTTTTTCCTGAGTACTAAATAAGAAAGTATGATTTGCTTCCAACAAGAAAGTTAAATATCTGGTAAATATTTATAATTTGTTTTGTTGCAACATAGTTTTTTTCCTTTTGTAGTTTTAGATCAGTGGTTTCCAACTGGCGGCCCGCGAAGCCTTTTTTTGTGGCCCGTGAACTAAAATATATTAGTTGTCATTTTTTTGTGGACAATTTTCGTAAAATCTCTATATGGGTTTAAAATACTTTTCTCGTTAATAAAAATCTAATTTCGTCGTTTCTGTGAAATTTAGCATACCAACAGTGCAAAATATTATTTTTTTTTCAAGTTTTGCATCCAAGAAAATATTTATTCAAATACAAAAATAATCGTGTATGTTGCTCTTTTTTATTTCATTTTTTCGTATTTTGTGAATATAATTTAGCATATGTCTATCAGACATTTTCTAGCAGAAATTCTCCGATTTAACTTTTTGAAACCACTCATTTTGGAGAAAATATTTACACATTTGTAAATTTAAAATGTAAATATCTATTCTCTGGTGGTTGCAGCAGACAAACCTCAATTTTGTTATTGAACATTTTGTGTGCTACTATGTAAGTTTTAATACCAACCTTTTAAAAGTTGTATACCTTAACAATTAAATATCTGTTGCACATTAATTGTTTACTACATGGGTGCACACTAAAGTTATTGTAGTTTTAATATGCAACTAAAT